AAGTTGCTAAACCTGCTACAATCAAAGAATATAGGCCAATTGCATGTTGTACAGTGTTATATAAAGCGATCTCAAAGGTTCTAGCTGCTAGACTTCAAAAGATCATGACATATATAATCTTTGAATCTCAAGCTGGTTTTGTTCCTGGTAGAAAAATTAAGATAATGTGATATTGACCCATGAGTTAGTAAAGTCTTATACTAGAGCCCAAATATCTCCCAGGTGCATGATTAAAATTGACCTCCAAAAGGATTATGATTCAGTTGAATGGATATTTTTACAACAGGTGATGAAGGAGATTGGTTTTCCTGATAAATTTATAAAGTGGATCATGGAATGTATCAAATCAATTAGCTACACTGTACTTATTAATGGAGAAACTACTAAACCTTTTGAAGCTACTAAGGGTCTTAGACAAGGAGACCCTATCTCACCTTTCTTGTTTGCTATTGTTATGGAGTACTTGAGCAGATCATTCATTGAAATGGGGAAGGACAAGCTGTTTCAATATCATCCTAGATGCAAAAAATTGGGCATAACTCACTTGAGTTTTGCTGATGATCTTCTTCTTTTTTCCAGAGGTGATCTTACTTCTATATCTACCCTGCACCAATACTTTTCTCAGTTCTCAAAGGCATCTGGATTACAAGCTAATATGGGTAAACGCTTAGTGTATTTTGGGGGAGTGAATTAGGATGTTAAGCAGCACATTTTGAACTATCTTGGATTTGTACAAGGGGAGTTACCTTTTAAATACTTAGGCATCCCTTTGTCTTCCAAGAAAATTGTATTGATCCAATGGCAACCCTTAAGTGATAGAATCACAGGAAAGATTTTATCTTGAACTGCAAAAAAGCTCTCTTATGCTGGTCGAATACAGTTAGTCAAGTCTGTCATTTTTTGTATCCAAGCATATTGGGCTCAGCTGTTTATTCTGCCCACTAAAGTGTTAAAGATGATAGATGCTATGTGTAGAAGCTACATATGATCAGGTAGTAATACTATTTCCAGAAAGAGCTATGTGGCATGGGACAAAATGTGTACTCCAAAATCGACTGGAGGTATGAATATCATTAATCTGATGCTCTGGAACAAGGCTGCAATTGCTAAAATATGCTGGGATTTAGCTCATAAAGAAAAACTATGGATTAGGTGGATCAATGCCTACTACATCAAACATCAACAGATTCAGACCATGCCTATCCCAAAGCAAGCTAGTTGGATGGTTAGAAGAATAATAGCTTCCAGAGATGTCCTACAACAAATTCAGAGCACAAAGGATGACAAAAGACCATCAGACATATGTATCTACAACTACTAGGAGACTTACCAAGAGTGAATTGGAAGAGTTTGGTATTTCAGAATTCTGCTCGACCAAAGGCTATTTCCAGTCTATGGTTAATGTTACATGGGAGATTGCCTACCAAAGATAGAGTAGCAAGCTGGGGAATGAACATTGATCAAAGTTGTGTATTATGCCAGGGACATCTAGAAACAAGAGATCATTTGTTTTTACATTGTTCTTATGCAACAGAATTATGGAGTAGAATATGGGAATGGATTCAGGAAGATCAAAGAAACTACAGCAATTGGCAACATCATCTTCAATGGATCATCAAGAAAGCAAAAGGGAAATCTAACCAGGCCAACATCTGCAGACTGGTATTCACAGAAGCATCCTATGCATTATGTCTGGAAAGAAATAATCGTATCTTTGAAAAAAGATATCGTCACTATGAAAGTATAGTTTGAGAGATAGCCTATATTTGTAATGTTAGAGTCGAGCCTAAAGCTAAAATCCAATTACAGAAATACTTATTAGTATAGAGAGTAGTAGCTTGTACAGTCTTTTTGAGTAGATTAATGATGTAGTGATTTCGTTGAGATAGTCAGCAGAGTATGATGCTGACTATAGTTTTGTAATGATCTCACTTTGGTGATTAATACAAAGAAAGTTAATTACCAAAAAAAAAATTGGGATTTTTTTTTCCTTATTACATATTAGGCAGCATAAGAAGTATCATTATGCAGGATTATACCTTTCCCTCTTTGATTAAAGTTAGTTGGGTACTTCCTCTGTATTCAATAAAGAATTCAACATTATGGTAAAGAAAGTTATATTACACCCTAGCATAAAATACAAATTTTCTTGTTAAAAATTGTGAATAATTAAAAATTATGATTATTATTTCAAAGAACAAAAAAAGTTTTTTCGTCAACTATTTGGAAATAAAATAAATATGCTTTATTATTCAAATTTTGATTAATATAAACAGAAAAAATAATACATTAACATAATTGAAAATTCTAAAGAGCAAAACTATATATATTCAATTTAAACAATGAGAAAATATCCCGACTTATTTTTTAATTGACTTTTCAATCATTTTTTTATAATCAATTTTAAGTTTGGTGGTGCAGAACTATTTTTTTTAAATAAAAATGTGTAGAACCTGTGTAGAAATACTCAACATTGTACTTGAAGTATTACAATCTTTGTATAATAAAGTGTTAGACTTCGACAAGTATTACAAAGTGATTGGTATAGGAATACAATTTCAGAAAAATTAAAATACACATAACACAAAAAATAAAAAAATAATACAGGTAAATGTGGTTCTATACGTTATTACACAAATACCTATCTTCTTTTTTCTTTTCCTAAAGACGAATAAAATGTGTAATTATCAATAGACCAAGAAATATTAAAAGAAAGAAAATAAGAAAAAAAGAGCAACAATTGGGCTGTGCATCGCATAGGTATGTCATCTAGTGTAAATAAAAAAAAAGGGAAAAGGGCCAAAATTGTCCTTGAACTATTAGAAATAGCTCACACTTACCCTCCGTTTGTTTTAGGTATTAAAATTACCCTTGCCGTTTATGTAAATGCCCGTTAAAACGTTAGCCTTGCCATTGGAGTTGACATGACAGTCCAACTGGGTTAAATTTGCATGCATGACCGTCCACCTACACAATTTAGCATGACAAAAAGTTTATGCTTTATTCTTCCTTGTTGAATCATAATCACTAAAAAGAAATCAGAAAATTAATTAAAAAAATACCAAAATAATTTTTGGTTGGGGTTTATGATTTGATTAAAGAACTCCATTATTCTTTTTGTGAATTTATGATTGGTTTGATCAAAATTTTTAGATGCTTATCTGTCATAGTTTCACAACATCAACTCCAACAATCCCTAGTAACATTTGGATCAAACCAATCAAAAATTTACAAAACCTTTTTTCAGATTTTCAAGCTTTTAAGTACTCCTCCATGATTTTTGTTTTTAGGTTTTAGCTCAGATCTGAAAACTAAGAAATCAGTTGTTAAAGTTTAATTTTCAGCTTCAACCGCAATATCCAAGCAATTTACAGTAACATACAATTAAATCTCTTCAAATTTGACACAAATTTTTTGCACTTGAATAACCCAACAACAACTAAAAAAAATTCACCAAGAAAGTTTCAAATCAATTGCTATTTTCGAATTTCGACACACAAAGAATGGCTACACAAGTTTTCCTACGACAATCAACCATTTGAATTAAAATTTCAACCTCAAATCTGTTGACCCTAAAACCAAATCAATGAGCTTGATCCTTCAACACACAGGTACAACTTCAAACAATCTTCAGCACACTTCGAAATTGGAGTTTCAAAGACCGAAGAGCAACTCAAATTTCTGATTTCTGTTTTGAAATTAAGGGTCAACAAGGAAGAACAAAGCATAGAGGAGATTTCTGCTATGTTTGGGCTACCTTGGTGGACGGTCACGTCAACAAATTTAACTCACTTGGATTGCCATGTCAACTCCAGTGGCAAGGCTAACATTTTAACGGGTATTTGTCGACCAAAACATAAACGACAAGGATAGTTTTGTTACCAAAAACAAATTGAGGATAAATATGAGCCATTTCAAATAGTTTAAGGATATTTTTGGCCTTTTAAAAAAATCAGTGAATTACATAAATAAGTATTAAGAATTTCTTTTGGGATAAAAAGTTGGAAATTTATTGAAGAAGAAGTAATTATACTCCCTACGCAATTATGAAATTTAAATTTATAATTCATCAATGATTAGCCATAAATATTTTTATATCCATTGATAGATATACCACGTAATCACAAAAGGAAGGATTTTAATGACATCAAAATTCGTGAAATTTGAAACTGATTACAGTTTATTATGAAATGCTTTAGATATTAAGCAACATTTGTTGATGCAAGCATAGAGATCATGAATTATTTGCATCAAAATAGAGTAAAAGAAAAAGCTCTTCAATAAAAAACGTCATAATAAAAAGTTAAAATATTAGTCCTTGTAAATAACTTACACTCTAGTACTCGTTACAATTTCAAATTGCATCACTTAAGTATAGAGTTCCAAAAAATAATTAAATGTGCCTACTTACAATTTGAATAGGAAAAATGACCCCTACAAAACCAAATCTCTCTTCTCCCGTGCTCTTACACAAAAAATAAAAAATAAAAAGGATTTTTTAAAGTTCATCATTTTTAATATCTTTTTTTCCGTAATTCATCTTCAAAATATTGTTTTGGCTATACATTTAACTAAATTTTTGAAGATGAGTTTCAAATTTGAAAAAGTAATTGTTACCTCTTTTTTCAAGTAAATAATTTTTTTCTATTATAATTGTAATATTTTTTAAAGTGAGATACATGTCCAAACATAATTTTAATCAAATATATTTTTCTAATTTAACATAAAAACTACTTTTTTCAAATTTCATATTTTTTATATCCAATAACAACAATAATAATATTAAAAACTTACCCAATATCATTCTACAAGTGAAATATTGAAAAAAATAGTATTTATGCAGACCTTTACCTTGTGAAGAGTGATTATTTCCGAATTTTAATGTCCAAATTCGTACTAAATACCAATTTTCTAATTTTTCAAAAGCATTCAGCAAATTTCCTTAGGCAAAATAATAAAAAAAAAAAGAAAAAGAAAAAATGAGGAGGAGATCTCATGTGCTGAGTCATTTTACCAGCCATACACTCTCTTTCACCACCTCCTGCTTCAATCATCATCCCATCCCTTCCCCGTTTCATTTTTTTTCCGTATATAGTCGCGCGCACACACAACAAATAGAATTCTGGTAGCTATATGGTCTGAAAAAAATCGAAAAAAGGAATCTGAAAGATAAAGAGTATTTCGAATATTGGAATATTCTTTCTGTTGTGTAGAGATCCGAATTTTGTGTAAATCTCTTCGGATTCCGAATAAGCTAAGCTCTTTACGAAATCTCGTCGAGATTTAACATAAAGCTAGAGCTTTTTTATGTGTTTGTTGGTGCTCATCTAAGAGCTTTGCTGCAAATTGCACACTCCTCTTCTTCAGGTAATGCGCAAAAATCCTTTCAAAACTCAAACAAATTAAATAAATAATTAAATCAAAACAAAAACATGTTAATTACGGTATATGTATGTTTATGCATGTGTTAGAGTGAGTTGATTTGGGATTCTGTCAGCCTAATGCAATTTCACTTTCAAGCTGTGTTTGTTGCTGAATTTTGGATTTTTTTTTTGTCAAATTTTGCATGCCCTGTTATTATTTTTTTTTTTTTGAATTTGACGAGAGCGCTTAAATATTGAAATATCTGTCAATTCGGACGTTGTGTACTACTATTCATTTTTGTTGCGTGAGCTTCTGTTTTTTTTGTGTGTGTGTGTGTGTGAATATTCAGTGTTATTGCGTGTGATCTTTGTTTCGTCTCGACTTTTGTGCCTATTTTTAAATGTTTTTCTAATTATTGGCAAAGTAGTTGTTGTGCTGACGAGTGGTTAAGATGTGTAACTGTGTAGTGTGTAGGAATGTGTGTTTTTATGCGATGTTGGAATTGGACATGGTCATTATCATGCTATTCAAATTTGGTATTTGCTAAAAAAATTCAAGCTCTTTACTGGTCTGAAATGGTATGGCCAGTCACTTAATATAATTACGGGATATTCTGAAGAGGATATGTTTTTTTAATTATTAATTAAAACTAAAAGAGAAGATGTGCAACTTATCTTCGACCACTATGGACGATGAGTGGCCTCAAACTTGAATAATAAATTTCTTTTCCTCTGAATTTGTCTTTGTTTCTCAAGTTTTTATGAGCATGTTATGAGATATCAACCCACAGTCGGTACCTCCATGCTATTAAACTATGGTTTAGTGATGCACATCTATTGTGCATAAAAGAATATTTCATTCTCCAAAACTATAGCAAAACTAGGCAGCACTTCTCGGTTATCAGCGTTCAGTAAGTATTGTGATAGATTGAAATAGGATTGGTGTAATTTCCGTCAACCAAACAGTTCTAGCTCTGTAGTATATGAAAAACGGTTTTTCATTGTCTGGAGTTCTGCTTATTTTTTTTAATGTTTCTCTAATGTCCTTTTCATTTTGGTTGTACAGTGAAACATGGTTGCTTTTGGGAAGAAGTTGAAGGACAGACAGATCCAAGAATGGCAAGGGTATGCAGAATATTCCGTTATAGTCCTAGTTGTTGTATACTTTCTTTCATTTAAACTTGCTGGAAACTAGACCATGCATTATCTTTCACTGGTCTATGTTTGACTACGGAGAATAATTTCCATGGAAGCATGTTAAATGCTTTTCAACCTTGCTACATTTGAGAGTATCATTTTTACTTTTCCAGTGCTTATACACAGTTTCAATGAGTGACATCTAGAGAAACTGTAATATCTGCTGTATAACAGTTGAGCACAAGCTCTGTTAAGAGGAAAGAAATAACAGTTAAATTGCAGAACAACAACTAGTACGCTTGTGTAAGGGTTAAGTAAACACATTGTTTTGTGATAATAAAATAGACAAGGCAAACTTATGTGGAGATGTAAAGAAAATAGTTAAGCAAAGAGATATATTAGATCCTACCTGTTAAAGGAATGGAAACAAGGAAACTAGCTTTTATTTGAATCCGCAGACATATTTTGATTGTGTTGTCAGAATTGATTGTTTTTTGTATACTTGAAGAGCTTTATTTTGGACTTTCCAGATATTACATCAACTACAAATTAATGAAGAAAAAGGTTAAGCAGTATGGTAACCAAATCAAAGCTGGAGCACTAGATCGTCGACATGTTCTTAAGGATTTCTCACGGATGCTGGACAATCAGGTAAGAATATGACGATTGTGCACTAGCATCCTTTACGTGCATCTCAGCTAAATGATGTTAGAGTTGGTTTGTTGATCTTTACTGTCAGATATTTTCCTAACAGTTTTTATTGTTAAGAGTAAGTTATGAGGCTCGCCAGTACATTCCTTGTTATTCTTTAAAAAAGTGTGATGATCTTTCTTGAAGTGATATCTATTCCTACTTCAATTTGAAACCGGTAAGTAATAGCTGCAAGTATGTTATAACGAAAAAACAGGCAGCCCTTCTCCAAAATACTGACTATTTTCCAAGTTTCTTAGAAAGGTATTATTCAGTCTCTCAAAAATTAGCATGTTATAGAACCCTCATTTGTTTTTAATCTCCTCTTCCTAGGAGGCAGTGATGATTCTATCCATGCCTTCTTCTTCCATGTTTATTTCTTTCTTCTGTGTATTGCGTCATCTCTCTCTCTCTCTCTCTCTGTATTCCAAACAGGGATTTGGATAGGTCAACTGTCAAAGGTGGTCTTCAGGAATTAGCCTAATTTTGTCTATGTGCTAATACCTTATTCATGTATTGATTGGTTAAAAGGATGTCCCTTATAGGGAAGAAACATTCTGTCACACTCATCTATACTTAAGTAGAAAAAAAAGTGAAAGCCTGTGTAATTTTCTTCATCTTGCAGATTGAAAGAATTGTTCTGTTTTTGTTGGAACAACAAGGAGTGCTGGCAAGCAGGATAACTGAACTTAATAAGCTGCAAGATTCTCTTCAAGAGCAGCCTGATATATCCAAAATAACTGAGCTACGAGAAGCTTATAGAGATGTGGGACGTGATCTTCTGAAGCTTCTCTTTTTCGTTGAAATAAATGCCATTGGGCTGCGGAAGATACTCAAGAAGTTTGACAAACGTTTTGGGTATAAATTCACTGATTATTATGTCAAAACCCGGGCTAATCATCCTTATTCCCAACTTCAGCAAGTTTTCAAGCATGTGGTAATATGCTAAACTCAAATAGCTACTGCATTCTTTTCATCTTCTTCTACTAGTAATAACAAGACTGTTCCTTCTATAGCATCAACTACTTCTTTGACTACTATACTACTATTGGTTTACTGTCTAGTTGGCATTTTTAATGAGAAGTACAAAAAAAAAGAGTTAGACACAAAGAAATATCGAACCTTCTGATTTGTGATGAGAAAAGTGAATTTCCTTCAGAAATTTGATAGACTTGTCCAAGAGAAAAATCTCACTGGTGAAGGTGGCCTTCGCTGATCATGAATGGTGATTGCAGGGACTAGGGGCAGTTGTTGGTGCAATATCTCGTAATCTTGCAGACCTTCAGGACCGTCAAGGAAGCTACTTGTCAATTTATGACCAGCCTTCTCTTCCACTCCAGGTTTTTCTCTACATCCTATAATCTTTTTGTCTTGTGCTGATTTCATAATCCTTTGTGCATCACAGTTTCTTGATATCAAATAATTTCGAGACTTCCTCTACTGTATTCTTATATGGCATTAAATTGTTTTGCAGGATTCTGTTGTTGACTCAATGAAAGCAGCTGTTGATAGATTAAGCCATTCAACAAACTTCCTTAACTTTTTGGCCCAACATGCACTTATCATGCAAGAAGAGTTCCCTACTCCCGTTGAGGAACAAGTTGATGATCAGAGATACCATTTTATGTCACTTCTCTTGAACTTGGCAAAT